GCTACACAGAGACCCCTATTTTGAAAATACAAAAAACAAACAAACAAATAACAGTAGCTGAAATTCTATAGATAAGTGCAGAAAACCATGGTTTAAAAACTAGGGCCTGAGTTTCCATGCTACATAGTCAAAGGTTGGCAGTGATAGTCAGAGCATCTTCATACTTCTCTACATTTCAGAAATAGAGCTTAACTCCTAAGGCAAAGAACTAAAATTCATGTCTGGAATCCAACATTTAAGTTTCTAGAAAGGCCACTTCTAAAGATTCTTCAGGTATAAGTCCAGCTCTTCTTGGCCTTGGTCTTTCTTCATAGTAGGAGAAGTTATTCTGAGGTCAATAGCCATCATCTCTACACATGGGATGAAGCACCCTCAGAAGTATCACCATCCCACTCTAGTTCCCTCAAGCATACTTTGAAAGACCTCCTCATGATGGAGAACCTCTCTTTTCTCGCCAAAGGCTACTCCTTTCTGTATATACTAAGACTGGTAAAGACAGGCCTTTCACCCTCCCCACCCCAAGCATGACCTCATCAGAGCACATGTGTGTTCTGGGCCTGAAACCCAAATGTGTTTCCTATTATAGCCAAACTATTTTGTGCACACTTTCTACCAAATTCAGCAGACGGTTGACAAAGGGCAAGGCAGAATTCCAGACAATATTTTTTTAAGTAAAATTCTATTTTCAGGTTCTGGGATTTAGTTGCCTCTGATTTTATGTTAATACCAGCATTTTTCTCTTCCTGTGTGTTTGTGGGGATACCTCATGGTCACCCAAGGAAATTAATCCAGTTCCTTCCAGCATTCTAAGAAAGGACTGGAATTTTTTTTCCCCAAAGGAGAATTTTATTCTAAATCCAATTATCTTACAAATTGGATTCATGGCTTATCTAATAGGCTATGGTGAGAATCTACAGGAAAATCCTACAATTTTCTGTCTTGAGGAGCCCTGACTACCTAGGATATTTTCTATCATCTGTCTGTCTGCTTTTCTTTTTCTTGCTTCCTTCTTTACTTTTATTTTTCTTCCATTCTTCTGTCCTTCCTTCATTCATTTCTTTCTATCAACCTATCTATCCATCTATCTTAATACCCATGTTTAAATATGTATTAAAAGAGATTTTTTTTAATATATAAACTCCAACTCTGATTCCAAAGGAAAGGAAATGAAGGAAGGAAAGTAGAAAGGAAGGACAGAAGGAAGGAAGAAAGGATAGATGGAAGGAAGAAGGAAGGAAGTATAGAAGGAAGGACAAAAGGAAGGAAGAAACGATAGAAGGAAGGACAGAAGGAAGGAAGGAAGGAAGGAAGGAAAGAAGGAAGGAAGGATGGATGGACCGAAGAAGGAAGAGAGGGGGATGGAGGAATCAAGAGGTGAAGGTCAGAGGAAGGGGGCAAGAGGCAGGGAATTATCACTACTTCTCTGAGCATGTGTCTGTGGAGTAATATGAACCTGTAGGATTGTCTTTGTGTTTGAAGATTACAGTTTGTTTCTAACTTTCTGTATCCCTATTTGCTTGGCAAAAATGCTTTGCAGTTTAGTGCCCTGTATGTTTTGTGTGTTCATCTGGTCTGTCTATGCAGCCCAAGCTGGCCTGGAATGTTCATTCCTCTGCCTCAGTCTCCTGTGTGCTGGGATTATAGGCATACAGCAACAGGCCAGCATGCATGATTTTAAAATACAACACCCAGAGATATAATTTGCATATCATCAGGTTACCAGCATGCAAGATTTCAGAGGGTTCTAATATATTTGCCAGTTGTGCAGCCATAAACCCAATTGATTTTAGGACATTTCCACTCTTGTGGGAGGATGCTTTTGAGAATTTCAGAGCCCACTCTATGCCTCTTAACAATTAAATCATAGTCTTCTGGTGAGAGACGGGTACATGGAATCTGTGTAGCTCCCTGGGTGTTCTCAAGGGGCAAGTGAGTTTTGTAAGTAATGCTACATAGGACCACTATTAGCACTGGATAGGAAACACATACAAATAAATCTATGGACATATTTAACATAAAGATGAGTCTAAATTATCATAACCCTAAAGAGGTTTCAGGGAAAGCCATATTGAAGATGAAGATAAATGGAAAGTTGTCCTAAAGAATTATATTCTACCACAGGTGAGATAAACAATTTCTCATCACGAACACATTTTCAGAATACGGAGTACCCTGAGCATGTAAGATTTGAACAAGAGTGTTGGTGGAGGAGAAACCACAAGGGGTGGGAAGTGACCAGTGCAGTACTTTCTAAGCTTGCTCATCTTCTCATAAGCTCTGGGCTGGTCTTAAGGATGCTAATGATGTATAGTTCCTTTGTGAAATCTCTTCCCACCAAGTGTATTCTGTACTGCACCATTAGCTTCTACAACACCTTACAACAGAGTTCTTACTAGCCAGCAGACCTCAGAGCTGAGCTTCACTCAGCACAGGGACAACTCTTGGACTCAGAAGTAACATCTTCATTGAAACAACAACACCCACCTCAAAATCCTGTGCATTTGTTTTGACACAGAGATGACAAATATTTGTTGGGCTGAACCACAACGAATTCACAATTACTGTCAAGCAAGAAGGAAAAAAAAAAAAAAAAAATAGGGCACTCATCCCAAAGAGCTCAGAACACTTAGTGACTGCAGTAGCTTGCAGAAGACTGGCAAACAAGACCTACAATTTTTTTCTCTAGAAGGCATATCCTGAGAAGAAACACTTTGGGCACTTAATAATTCCAGTGACTAAGTGGCAGGACCACAAGCTGTTATTAAGAACACTGAATGATGTATTACCAACATGGGGATCAAGAAAAAAATGCTATGCAGGGGAAAAAGATTAATTAATATCAATTAATTTTCTTTTAAGGAAAAGATTATGCAGAAGTCTTCAGGCTTCTGAGGAGAATGTGAGAAAATTTTACAGTAGCAGATCGCCAAAGTTGTCCCCTGGGGTACGTTCAAGATGAAGAACAAAGGGCAGTGGCATTTGTGTTATTGTGTAGTCCTGGGGGTGGGAAGGAAAGAAAAGCAGGCTTTAGAGGGAACAGAAAAAGCTTATGGGCTGAAAAGAAAGAGAATTTTAATTACAATGGAGCTGGGCAGTTACACAATATGCAGTACTGTTAAGTACCCTCAGCCAGAAGGAGAGTAGTTCTTTGAAACATAAAATGCAGAAAGCAAGTTAACCAGAGCCCCAGGTAAAGTCCATTAGAGAAAGGACAATTTCCTTAGCCTCCCCTTCAAGTTCAGGATGATCATGCCTGGTGTGTTCACAGGAATCTAATATAAGAGATTCACCATCTAGCAACCTGGGCAAGTCATTTCTTTGTTCTTTGCTTTCATTTCTAAATGGAAAGCTTAGACAAAGATAATGCTCCCCAAGTTTGTTACAGGAGCTTTAACATAACAGTACTTAAAGAAAACATCCCATGTTCAAATAGCACTGGGAAGAAATAATATAATCTGACTACACTGGTTTCTTTCTTACAGGGTTCATGGAAGGTCTGTCGTATTAAAGTTCACTTCCAACTGCAGAATTTAACCTGCAGTACTTTACTAACCAAAGATCTATCTCCTCTCTCTCTCATGTGTGTTTGTGTGTGTGTGGGGGGGGGTGCTTATGGTTGTTACCTGTGGAGTGCAGAGCTCAGCCTCAACTGTAGTTTCTAGAGAGTGTCTGACCAGTATGAGGATTGCAGAGTAGGCTTGGCTAGCTGGCCAGGAGCCCGAGGGGTTCATTTCCACAGTCCCAAGATTACCAACATACATCAGTCCATTAGACTTTGTTATGCAGGTTCTGGGGGTATACTTAGGTCCTTACCAACTGAATCTCTCCTCATCCTCTAACCAAAGAGCTGCTTTGGGATAGACTACACCAAGTGATTGCCTTTTGCTGAATACTCAACATGACTTGCAAGTCTATTTTGTGCTTTTTGGTGCACAGATTTTTAGCCAATGGTCACTTGGAATCAACATCACAAACTACTAGTTAGCCTAACTAGTACTACTAACTAGCCTAAAATTTTACAAAAAGTAAATGCAAGAATTCCAGCACAATTAACAACTACCTAAGGGCTCCCCTCCCCAGCCATAAACATGCAATTTCCTAGGAATCTCACCAGACAACAAATCTACAGGAAAAGTGCCATACTAAAGCTCTTGTGCAATACTGTGCAGTACTAGTGTGTCTGGTTTTGGTTTTTACTTTCTCAGATTATGAGCTCAGCGAATATTCCTCCAGAGCTACCCTGCAATCTCACCAAAATAAAGAGAAAAAGTGTTAAAGTGTTATTGATTTTTTTTTTATATTTTTAGGAGTGTGTGTGCTTGTGTGCATGCATGTGTGTGTGTGTGTGTGTGTGTGTGTGTGTGTAGGTGCCCTTGAAAATCAGAAGAAGAGGTTGCATTGTCTGGAGCTAAGGGCTCATCGCTCCCCTGATATGAGTGAAAGAAAGTGAGCTCTGGGCGCTGTTCTGCACTAAGTCAGCTCTGCAGCCTTCAGGAAAAGGCTCTTCAGTGATGTCCTAAGATGTAACTGAGAACTACCAAAGCCACTATATTAAAATAGCTATGGTACAGTCTTCAACTTCTCATTCTGGCTAGTCCTAAAACTCTTCCACACTGAAGTAACAGCTCTGTTTTAGTCTGAGGTGAGGTCCCTAAAACACTAGGTAACATTTTCAGGCTGTTGAGGGTGACAATGCAGAGCTGTGTCTCTGCCCTCACCCATCTGACAACAGGAACCCAAGTCTCCACGTGTCACTGGGAAACCACCAGGGGAAGTCCCAAGAACATGTGTGGCCATTCCCCCCTTGGTGTTGTTTTCTCTACAAAAGTTCTCATCTCTGAGCTTTGAATCTCTGCTGAGAAGCAAGTGCAAATTTTCTCCCAGCCTCCAGTGCAAAAAAAAAAGCCCATCAGGAGTAAAGAAAAGAGAGTCTTTTCCCCGCACTGGTGTCCATCCCAGCAGCCTCCAGAGCGGGCTTGTACTGTGAGAACTACTGGTACCTCTGTTTCCCAAGTAAAGGACTGATTCACAGCGTGCAGAGCAGGCCAAGAAGCAGGGACAGTTCAGGCAGGCAGTTCTCCGCTGTAACTTTCAGGAAGTGACATCAAGCAACATCAAAGTCGAGCCGCCCCAATTAAAGGCTGGGGTTGGAGTGGGGGTGGGGTGGAGGTGGGGCCAACCCTCTCTCGGAGGATTCTGACCTCTCTCCCAGACCAGATAACCGCAGCAGGCTGCCGGGACTCGCACTTCCTGGTAAGCCACTGTGCGAGCCCAGGCACTTAGGTTTGTAAGCTTTTCACTAAGTTGTTCTACTCCCTAGCTAAACAGTGGCGCTGGCCACAAGGGAGTTAAGCAGTGGGGGCGTGAGGGGTAACCCTTCCAGACAGCCTCCTCCTGGCCTCAGGCACTTTCCCTCTCCTGGGAAAAGCAACACTTCAGCAGCAAGGCAGCCTAAGCTTGAGGTTTAGCTCAGAAAGTGTTAGCCCCATCCTACCCGCCCCCATCTCTCTCTCTCTATTGTAGCTTGCCCCCTGATTTGGAGCAGGGCCAGGAAATAGTCCTGTAGCTATAGGAGCTGTGAACTGGAAACTGGGGCTAATAAAAACTTTAGAACCCCCACCTCCAGGTCACTGAGACAGGTAAAGTCGGCTTGGCTTTGGAATTCGAGTTATCCTTTGAAAAGCTGAAGGTGTCTTTGTTCTAAGTTCTATCTCTAATCCCAGGCAGAAAGAGCTGGCCTTCCAGGCTATCCTAGAGAACGCAATTAGCCCATCAGTAAGATGTAGCACATCTTCCCACAAAGACACTTAGCATCAGCCTGCTTGTTTCTGAGGGCCCAGAAAAGGGTAACTTACTGTTTATTTCTTATTCCTTTTTCTGACACTGGCCAAAGGTGCACTCTGGGCTTTCCAACTCTTGCTTTTGCCTTGTGTGTGCTTTTCCATGCCCAATGAAATGATAAGGCTTCTTGCTCCCTGGTGCCCTCAGGGCTGCTGGGTTTTAAGCTTACCGCCCTATTGTTTTTTTCTCTAAACCCTAATAAAATTGTCCTCAAGCTCCCCTTGGAGTTCATCTCTGATTTCTCTTATTAATGAGGCTGTGACTCACAAAAGGGACCTCAGTTTCCCAGATAACAATCTTAAACTGGTGTCATCTAAATGCCTCCTGGGCTCCTGGGCAGTTGTCAGGAGAAGTTGAAAGGGTGCTGGGTATTATGATAAAGTGCCTTGGGGGGGGGGCGGTCCTCAGGGGATTCCAAGGTGGGCCAGGGTGACTGAGGGACTCTCATGCCAATGCAAAGCAGACAGCTCTGAAGTGTAAAGTTTTATTAGAAAAGGGAGGGAAAGGGGTGAAAGAAAGGGAAAGGGTAAAGAGCCAGAGAAAGGACAGAAGAGGAAGACAGGAAAAGTCCTGTCTGCCCCAGGGGAACAGAAGAAAGAGAATGGAAGTAAGTGGGTGGAGCTTTTCTTTTAAAGAGCCAGGGTACATACACCTGCCATGCTCAGGTGAGTGAGAGGCAGGGCCAGGATCGCCTGGACTACAATCCCGGGAACACAGCTGAGCTCGGTGCTGTTCTCCTATCACCTCTGGCAATGCATGATGGCAGCTTCAGGACGGAGAAGAGCGTAGGTTCAACACCACTCTAATTGGACTGACTGCACCACGATCCATTTATCATTTTGAATCCAGGGACTTTCTTAAGTGTGACCCTAGATCCCCTCCACACAAGCCCCATTTCCCGGGCTTAGTTTCACCACTGATAGCACACTTCACTCCCTCCATCCACCCGGCAGAGGAAGGATATTCCCAAGCTTCTCATACCCTGTGGTTATCTAAGCTTTACGTTCCTCTTCACCCTGTGTTCCCTTTATTTATTTATTGTCTCAACAGTGGATGGTGAATTGCTAAGGTCAGGGACACCCACCTGTCTCCATGTCATTTTGATAGCTCCAAGAACAGCATAGATAGCAACATTTGAACTAACAAATGAAAGGAAAAATGCAAAAGCTCAGTCTGCCATACATTTTAGGATATAAGCATGCTCCGTGGCAATGAACAGTAAGTGTTAGGATAAAAAGGAAAGTCTGCAGGAATTGCCTGGAACCGCTAGTTAGGCAGTGACTGTGAACCCTGTATGTGTGCACTGACACAGGGGAATGAGGCATGGAGAGTCATGCCTAGGTACAGCACATGCTGCGATGGGGAATGGGAAGTGTGGGCCGAGGTTCATCTGCGAAAGTTTTTCAGTAACAAACAACACCCCCCCCCCATTTTTACTCATAAACATCAGAAAAGTGTACACTAGGAATAGCCACTTGATTATGATATTTAAGAAGGCTGCAAGTGCTAGAAGCAGTAGCAAGGAAACTCCATGGGAGACTGTAGAATCAGGCTAACCAGATGAAGAGAAAACCCTTAATACTAATTGTAATCAAATAAGAATGCTATCTGAAAGAATAACAGAGTTAGGAAGACTGCATGCAGCACAGAGGGATACTCATATCTGCAGAGAGCAACTGACTTCAGGGATAGAATTTATAGATCAGAAAGGAACATGTACACCATAATTCTTAGCTGTAAATGCACACTGAAGCAATAATTTGAGAACAGGTTGTTTATCCACCACAAAAGAGGATCTGTACTCCTTTCCCTGCTCAACTATGGGCTACTGTTGGATGCAAGAGCAAAAGTTACTGTGTTTAGTTATGTACCACTGAGGAGCCCACCAGCCTCCAATAGATAGACACAAACTCATAGCACACCAAAGACCATGGTTAAACTAAAAGAGAGAGGGAGAGGGAGGGGGCAGAAAGGGAGGGAGGGAGGAAGGAAGGAAGGAAGGAAGGAAGGAAGGAAGGACAGGAAGGTAGGACAGAGAGGAGGTCAGGGTCAGAGGAGGGGAGATTAGAGAAGGTGAAAGGTTGCAGTGATCAGAATACTTTACACATGTGTGAAGCTGCTAAGGAACAAATTCAATAAAAGTTACTAAAAATACACAGGTAAAACTAAATTTTGAAAATATATGAGAAGTGGAAAGTAAGATAGAAAAAATTTCTGAAGGCAAGAAAGATACAGAGGGAAATAAAAACTTTGAGGAAAGCGTGAGGGAACAGTAAAGGGTCCCAGAGAGAGTCCAGAAATTACTAAACACCGAGGGTCCAGTGCCAGGGAAGGCTCCAGGGGAAAACACAAGCAAACGCAAAGAAATGAAAGCTGGTAATTCTTTAGGATTCAATAACATGTAATGATAAAACAGTTCTTTTGCCCCAAGTCCTTGGAGCATAAGGAAATCTGGGACAATCTGTTCTCTCATCACATCGGGAAGGAGGCTCTTTGTTTCAAAAGGTCTGTGGTCAAACAGGAGGCTCTGACGTTAATCAATTTATTTCCATTGAGAGGGATGTATAAATGAAAGGTCTCTATTTCAGAAAAGGCCATGAAAATGTGAAGACGTTATTATTTGCAAGCTGAGAGGAGAGGTGAGGCTGTCTGCATAGCACATTTCAGAACGGTTCAATCAGCCGGGGCCAGGGGATGGATTTAAAATAGAAAAGTAATGGGAAAAGGGCTTTCTATGAACAGAGACGATGGTTGATGAAAACCATCCCTCTGGAGCCAATTCTATTAATACACACTTACCAGGCAGCTTGAGAGTTTGGGAAAAAAACCTATATAGTTCTCATTTCCCATAGCTTCTGGGTCTAATTACATATTTGTATCCATATATGGATAGACACAAGTTTTTGTATGATTGCACAACACACACACACACACACACACACACACACACACACACACACACTGTTTTTTATATAGTGACAGAGATAGCTGCATATCTAAGTTGTAGTCCCTTACCTTAAAATACATGCGGTCTTTCAAAAATAGAGAAGAGGAGAAGGAAGAGAAAAAAGGAGGAAAAATAATATTGGCTCAAAAACTATCTTACTAATTCATTCATTAACTCTACAAGTATGTATTGGTTGCTACCCTATCTGAAAAGAGAGTTGGGCACATCAAGGTTCTGACTACTGAGCCGAGTTAGGAAACAAACTCTCATGGTTCAAATGCAAGAGATACATCTGGGGGGTTTTGAAATTCAAGTACACAGGCCACTCTGTTGTCTAGAAAGACACAGATACCCCTCTCCTTAATTTATGCCCAATGAATTTGGGCCCCATGCTCTGTTGTGGGTCAACAATAAGGACAACTTCAAACCTATGACTGCTCACTAAATATCTAACGGAAATACTCAGCTGGAAGCTGCGAGTGCATGTTTAATGAAAGTATACCAAATAAGTTCGCTGGAAATAAATCTCTTGATGAAAATTTAGTCAATGGGGCATTTAATTTGATGGCAGAATCTGCTTTCAAGTTGTTCAAACATTGGATTTGTAAGAAAAAGAAAAAAGAAAGGAGGCAGCACAGTCCACCTCACTCAAGCTGTTCCTTAGGAATTTATTTGCCCACTTAGAAGATGCCAATGCTAAGACTTTCTTGAACATTTGCTTTTACTTGGTGACCATTTCACTTCTTTTAATTAAATGATATTTAACTTAAATGTATATATTTATGTATATATTTAAATTTATGTATATGTGTATATTATGTATATAATTGTCCAGCCACCCCAAGACATTTATGAAAACAAGATGCTGTGTTAATGAGGGGAACTGCAGAGTGACATTTGACTCATTAGATGCTTCATTAGCTGCTGTGAAAATGCACTCAACCGTCTCATCTCACTTCCCAATATCAGCTAACAATAACTCCCTTCATTCAGCCTCTCCAGGTATGTTCAGCTTCATAGCATGCTCTGCACAGGTTAAAGAATCACGGTAAACCCTCAGAAACCGAAGACTAAGTGTGCTTAACTCCCAGCATGCTCCAGCCCAGCAGTAGGCACAGACAGGAACAGACAGAAAGGACCAACCTATCTTTTAACTTTATTGTGGATGCCAGCACAGAGAGTAGACATTTACATACACAGAAAGAGACAGAGAACAACTGTCCTCTTTACAGCATTCAGTTGACTCTTATTTTCCTTCTCTGCCCTGTGTTATTTAGCCATATTACCATGG